CCCCCCCCCAATTAGGGGTTTAGCTGCAACACGTGAGGTAGCTTGTTATCTTATTGTGCCTGCTGCAGCACAGGCATTCTTCCTCGCTCAGTTCTGAGAATCAGTGACAAATCCTGAAGTCATATGTGACAAACGAAACAGAGGATTTTTTCTGCATTCATGTCTGCAAGCACAAAGGTAACATTGTCCACTATGCAATCAAGCACACTCAGTTCCTTCATGTTAAGCACTGGAAATATGTTTCTTAAAAAAAAAAAAAAAAATTAAAAAAACTCCCCCAGCCAGGCTCCCTGCTGCACTGCATCTGCTAGAGAAGCACAAACGAGACGACTCAATGTTATTGCACACGAGCCTTTTAGACCTTTCAAAGGGAAGGATCCCCTCAAAGCACGGCACCTACCTCACTTGTATGATCTGAAGGCACACAAATCCAACCCCAACTTTGAAAGTTTTTTTCCCAGTAATGAAGATGTGCAGTTAGGAGGAAAAAAAAAAGGGAAAAAATAGCATCAACTGAAGACAGAAAACAAACTGGCAGAGATGGAGGCTCTACAGATTTTGGAAGACAGTGTAAAGTGCCGGTCCAGAGCAACTGTGCGCAATCAAGAAAGCTGGAGGTAGATATAGCTGGTATTATGATTTTTACCCCATTCCCTTTCATTCCCTGAAAAAATATTCAGCTGATGAGCCTAGTTTCAGGCCAGACGGAAATTCAGTGAGCGCGCAGGGCCAGGAGGAAAGCAGAGCCCTTTGCCATGACTGCAGCAAAGCCGTCTGCTGCCGCTCTCGCCTCCTGACTCGGCAAGTTTGCTCTGCCGGGGCTGCACAGGAACCTGCGCGCCGGCTGCGCCGCAGCCCTGGCGCCGAGCAGGGCTGCTTCCCTCGCCCGCGCCGTGCCGCTGCCAGGATCACGCCGCCTCCTTAACCGTGTACGCGCTGGAGCCGGGCGCCGCACGGCCTGGCTCTCTAGGCGTGACGCGCGTGTGTGCAGCGGGCACACGCGCGGGTACCTGCTTGCCAGCGCCCGGCACGACAAAACAGTCCCAGGCTCATCCGAGGGCTCTGCGGACTGGTGTGCTACAGAACTGTTTTGGAGGGAGGGAGGGGAGCAGAGGTTTCCATCTTTAAATCCTACCAGGTCCCTTCTATTATTAAGAAAAAAAAAAAAGGTACTACCATAGTGCAGAGGGCATAGAGGGCTGGTGCAGGACCGCGAGGTGACGCTTGCCCTACGCGCTGCAGGGACGCAGAGGAAGTGATCGCAGCAGTTCCCCCCCAGCCCCAGGATCTGTGAACATCTAAGAATAATATCAAAGAGCCTGAAGGAGTTCTTCATGAGCCAGTGAGCAAAACCTGCACTGCATGGGAGACGGCTGGCTGGTTCTGATCTTAGCTATCGTTTTAGAGATTAAAGCAACAGCCACAAAAATAAACCCAGAAAAAACACCGAAACAGAAGCTGCAGCTTGCAGGGAGAAGCAGAGCAAAAGCAGGCTAGCACTGACACCAGACCAGTGCACCCAGCTGGGGAACGGTGAGGATAACCTCGGCCTCAGCTCTGGGTCCTGGGGCTCCCAGCCCCCCGCCAGGCGCTTGGTGCCACACCTAGCAGCCACTTTTTGGGTATCCCAGCAGCATCAAGGTGCTCAGTTGCCTTTAAGGACCCCGTTTCACAGGCTATGCATGCCCGAGCTGGTGCTGCTCCCCGGGCCCCGGGCCTCCCCTTGGCTGCTAGCCCAGCACGGCTCACTAGCCGGCCCTGGCCTCAGGCCCGCACAGCTCGCTGACCCGGCCATCCCGCACCAGGGCTCACCTCCGTCTCTGGGGCCCCAGTACGGACGAGTGCCCAAAGGAGGACGGACGGGCCTGGCCGGGGCGTCCGGGATCACTTCTCTCCCTGCTCCACGTGGGCTCGAGCAACACGTGGGATTTCTGCTCCTCAGGCCCCAGGACTCCAACCTGGGCTCGCTGCGTCTGCTTCCCCACAGCTGCTCGAGTCAGAATGAAATTCTTGTACCACATTGCACATGATACAGCTGGGCTCGCTTGGGGTCATGTATTAAACCTGGTAACGGGAGTCACTTCTGCAGGCAAGGCCCTCAAACTGGACAACAATTGCTCTTTCTTTGCATTAATAAATAATTGCTGTTATTCTCTTCCCTGTACGAGTACTGAGCACTCCTTATGCACGTTTCTCTTCTGAAGACATTTAATAACTATCACTGGAGCAACTGCTACCTTCGAATTGGCTTTTGCCTTCTTGCCATCTTGGAGCGCTCCTCCCTCAAGCATGTGGTTTGGAAAAGAACAGAAAGACATCCAGATAATTAAAGTGCGCTTGTCCTCAGACACACAGTTACATTATATTACTGTAACAGTAGAGTGATAATAAAACTGATATTGCTGGAAACTCGATTTAACATTAAAACCAGAGGCCAAGCGAACAGAAAGGGTCAGAACTTCAGAAGCACATAACTCAGGCAGTAGGCTTTTTTTTTTTTTTAAATAAGGAGAATTTAGCACTTCTCAAAATCCATCAAAGAGTACTGCTTGGCCTTACAAGTTTATTCAGTATTAAACAGATGCCACGAGCGCCCGAGCGGTGACAGGATGTGGTGTGGATGGCTTTCAGGAGGCACGAGCAAGCGCTGGGTGACATACCACCACGACGACAGTGGCGTGCTTTGCCGCGTGCACGAGAGCAGGGGCCATGGGAGTGACCCGGTGCAGCGATACCCCCGGACCCAAGAGGGAAGCTCGGATTCCTCCTCTCGGCAGCTCAGGTTCGCTGCACTTTCGGCCCCGTTCCTCTGTCCCAATCTGCCGCGTCCCCGCAGGCTCACCGTCCAAAACTGTGCTGGGGAATCCGTGGCCCCCCAGATCCCTGCTCAGCCCGGTGGCGTGCAGCACCTGTGCAACACGGTCCTCTCACATGCGTTCAGAAATACACCACTGCGCTAACCTGTGGCTCTTGTTTTGAATGCTGCATCTCTAAGGCTGAATGCACGGAGGAGAGGCTGTTGGGTCTTCTACCAGCAGCCCCATACTGTTGGTTCCTGCAGTAAAGCACCTTGGTGGCTCCGACGACAGGAGCGGGGCTGGGAGCAAGGCATGGCCCTTCTAGCTGGAGAGTGAGACCCATCTCTGTGTGCTGCTGGACACTTCCTCCAAGTTGCGGCCGCTTACCCGAGGTACACCTCCAGCAAAGGGATGCCCTGAGGGGGCTGCAATGCTGCACATCTCCCGCAGCCCTGCGCCACTCAGCTCTGCCGAGAAGAGCTCCTTGTGCTGGGGACACTCAGGACAATGTGCCAAGGGAAGGGAAAGAAAGTTCTGCTTTTTAGGTCAGTAAGAGGAGCTTGAAAATTGGCTCAGGACTAATTTCCCACAGCTTGGTGCACAACCTTTTACATAACCCCTCTGCAACCAGCTGAGCATCATATTCCCATATGGGAATATTCTTGCACGTGCACCTCAGGGACACCAACTCTGACACCTATCCAAGCAATGCCAGGTGCAAAGGGCCGTAGCTACTTTTCATGAAGCAGAGCAGAGATTGCAGGCAGGACACCCAGGCAAATCCTGGGCCGAGGATCCCACGAAGGCCTGTCTGTGTGCAAGAGACAAGAGCAGTAGCTGCTGCACTTCTGAACCTCACATACCACATGTTTATCTCCTCTGACATAGCACAGCTTGCTGTTTCCAAAGTCTATGTCAATTTAGCAGTTTTCCTCAGAAAAACAGGGAAAGACATTTGCTTATAGGGTTCCTAAAATAGTCAGAAATTTAGCTTGCATGAGAACTTTCTTCTGGCTTTAATTGCATTTGCCTGATTAAAAGAATCCGTTCTCACGTACCAGAAGAGGATGGCCCTTGAACAACTGGTGCCCTTTCACTGGCTGGGGACAACAAATACAGTGCCCCACTTTGAAGCCTTTCAGGAGGAGTGAAGACTCGCTTGTAAATATGTGTAGGGGAATTTCCAGAAGATTGGCCTCTTTTCTGCGCAGAGTTTGGAAGTGTTTCAGCATCTTCTATGCTGCCTGCAGGTGCAAGCCTGGACAGCTGTGCCAATACCCGTGAGGGATCGAAGGAGCCGAGCGGGTGCAGCGCCTATGCCCAGCCCAGCCCAGCCCCACACACTGCTACCGGCGTGTCCTCCAGTGCTGCGCGCCGTGCCGCGGCGCTGCGGTTGCACCGCGCCACGGAGCCAAAACGCGACTGCAGTACCGTGCTGTTCATCCCTGGGTGTGAACAGCCACCGGCAGTTGCAGGCGCTATTAGCCCAAAAAAAACTCAGGGAAGTGCGAACATTTCTAAATCAGTGTTGGAGGCAACCTCGGGACTACAGTGAGTAATGCTGCTCGCAGCAAGGACTTGTCTGAGGCTTATTCCCTGCATTCTTTATGCAAGATCGTCAAGCTTTGCCCTTCAGTTACAGGCTGCTTGCTGAATATTCAGCTATAGGGACTCTGGCACAGATGGAAAGGGAAACAGGCAGAGCCTGTCACAGCCCACAGCAGATCCTCAGCTACCAGCCGATTTCTCAAAGCCTGTGTATGTACATATTGCCAAAAATATGTGTTTTTTGTCCTCTCTCCCTCCGTTGCTTTCCCTCCGTTTTTTCCTCACAGTCAATGGAGGGTTGATGTCTCTACCTAGATGTCTCAGATCCCTATGTAACTCCATTTATCACTTTGCAACTTTCAGTTTCCCCTGTTTTGTGCATCTAAACCTCAAGACTTTTAAAACTGCACATTCACCATTTGCTAAAAATCCCTTGAAGGAAAAAAAAAAAATTAGATATCAAGAGTTAATGAAGGCGCTGAGTGTCACAAACTCTCCCTCACCCAGCAGCAGATATTTTTGATAGCAGAGAGCGCACAACATGAGAGGAAGGAAAAAGGAAAACAACAAAACAAACATTTAAGTGTTTTGCTAGCACCAGCACTGCAGTTTGTTTTCTCCAGCAAACTTTCAAAACCAGCAGGCTAAGCTATTGCACTGTATTGCTTATTCTGCCGTTGCTTTGCTGCGTGTCATACCCACGGGCCTGTGCACGGAGAGCTCGGAGATGACAGCAGGGCTGGCAATAACTCGGAGGCGGCCCACTGAGTGCCTGGGCCCCTGGGCACGCCTTTTCACCCACTGGTGGTCCAGGCGGCTGCCCAGCCGCCCCTCCTTGAAAATATGGTTTTAAAACTCTGCCCAGGCTGAGCGTGAATCAGACCACATTTGACATGGTTGCAGAAATAGACACAAGGTTCTTTCCTCCTTGTCCTCGTTCCTTGTTAAGGCTTGAGGCCTTTCTGCCAGGAAAGCGAGCAGTGCTCCGCTGCCTCCGCGCCCCTCTCCCTCGCCTCCTGTGCCGAGTCCTGCGCAGCGTTCCCCTGCCCTGCGCACCATGCCCAGGGTACCATGCCCCTCTTAGCGGTTCCTCTCTCTTTAAAAGCAACAAATAAATAAATAAATGAAGCAAGCTCTCATGCATCTTCCATTAGTGGCTGTGAGCAGAGGCACCTCTTGTTAACCAGCAGGAGAGCTATTGCTTGCCAAGAAGTTAAAACCTCTCTGGATGAAAGTCTCAGCGTGAACTGCTGACATCCATCTTCATCCAAGGCCTGTGATGGGAGCTGCTGATGCCCTCGTTTCTGGGCATGAGCGTATCCATCCTCCTCCTTTTCAACGGCAGGCGGCGGCAAGCCCAAGAGGTGAAGCCTTAGCGGCAGGCCCAGCAGAAGCGCTTCCTTCAACAGCGTGTCCAGCCAGGCCTTGCAGAAATGTGCTGGCTTTGCCTGCCTGGGGCCTGTGGCTGTCCTTCCTCAGGCATGGACCTCCCTTGGTCTAGCGCAGCTCAAGCATTTCTGTATTCAGGCACCAGGCC